AAAAAATGTAAATTCGAAAACCGTAATGAGTTTCCATGCAACTGGCCTGGCAAGGTTTGAATTTTGGTTGGCAGTGATAAAATGTTGTGCACATAAATTGCTTTGATCCACAATCAACGCATACAGACATTCTGTGAAAAACAGCTCCAAAAATCAAGGGGAGGAGTTAAATTTGCTATTTCCACCTTAATTCCAGGTTGGGCAGTGAATGGGGGAAGTACGGGTGCTGCAGAATTTGTGGGCTGCCAATTGGGATTTGCAAGCACATCCGAAAGGATACTAGGAGCTCTATGGGCCTGTGTACGAATTCTTGGTGGCTGCGGGACAATACTTGTGCTGGCCACCACATCGGCTTGTACTGGACTTATGGAACTTGCCATGTCACCAAGTCATACTGCAGTGCTGGTATTATTATTATTATTATTATAATACAGGATTTATATAGCGCCAACAGTTTGCTCAGTGCTTTACAATATAACGGGAGACAATACAGAACAATACAGTTCAATACAAGAGGGTTAGGTGGGCCCTGATCCTGGGAGCTTACAATCTAAGATATGTGAAAGACCAAGATGTACTAGACCGCTGGTGCTCGCCAGTTCACCATAAGGTAGCACGGCACTAGTACTGGCACTCTGCTACATATGAGAGTCATCAAAATTTACTGACAAGTGCTAACAGAGATCAGGCCTGATTCTGCGAACACTACGGTTTTGTGTGCAATGTATCAAATGACAGGGACCTACTGACACTGCACTTGCTGGGGGAGAAGGGGGGGTAAGCATAGGGGCTAAACGCAGGTGCTGGCAGGTGCCGGGGCTGATCCTGCTAACGCTGCGTTTTTGGGGACGCTATATTAATGTGAATGCTGGTATAGTGCTGACCTGATCAAAAATATTGATCCGTTCAGACGCTATACTAGCAATGGAGGATTATTGTGCATGAGCGTGTTCCTGGCAATCAAGGGGTTAAATGTGATGACTGGTGTACTGACGGGCAATCTGACGCTATCTGGGAGGGGTGTGAAAACCATGGGAGCACAAATCATGTGTATATATATATATATATATATATATATATATATATATATATATATGTGATTTTGCACACCCATTGACTATTTATGCTATAGGGTGGTCAGGAAGCGGTTACAGAAGAGGTTTGTGTTACAGCGCTGCGTTACTTTAACTGACAATTGCACGGTCATGCAACACTGCACCCAAATTAAATTTACGTCCTTTTTTTCCCACAAATTGAGCTTTCTTTTGGTGGTATTTGATCACCTGTGCGTTTTTTTTTATAGCGCAAAAAATAAAAAAACAATTTTGAGAAAAAAAAAACAATATTTTGGACTTTTTGCTATTATACATGTCCAGTAAAAACATGTAAAAATCAAATTTCGTCATACATTTCAACCAAAATGCATTCTGCGACATGTCTTTTCTGAAAAAAAAAAAACCCAATACGTGTAAATTAATTGGTTTACATGAAAGTTATAGTGTTTACAAATGGCGGGAAAGATACTGGGATTTAAAAAAAATTTTTATACTAATAATGGCGGTGATCAGCGACTTATGGCGGCGATCAGTGACTTATGGCGGCGATCAGCGACTTATGGCAGGACTGCGGGACTGCGGGCGGACAATCTGACACTGGGGGGAACTGACTTGGGCTCACTGACATCCCCAGTAACACCAATACAGTGATCAGTGCAAAAAAAAAAAAACACTGACACTGTACTAATGGCACTGGGGAGGAAGGGGTTAACTTTTTTATTCAATGAAAGGGTTAACTGTGTGAGGGGAGTGTTTTACTAGGGGGCGGGGGTGTGTACTGCACAGGAACATGCTGATCTGGAGAGATAAACTCTTCTCTCCAGATCAGCATGTCAGGAGCTGACAGGGAACTGACAGAAAGCAGAGGTGCAGTGTAAACACTGCAGCCATGCTCTCTGTCAGTGATTTTCCGCTAATTCCCACAGCTAATCGCCCCGCGACTGACACCCGCGGCCGCGATCGGCGGCGCAGGTAGGGTGGAGGCGCACCTCGCATGCGCCCCCTACCTGTTTTGCAAAATCATGATTTAAAACGTGGTTTTGCGCAGCCGTGCCGCCCTGCCACTGTATTTCTACAGTGGCTGGTCGGCAAGTGGTTAACTTCTGGGAAAGATAATGGGGTTGATTTGCTAAAGGTAAATAGTCTGTGCATTGCAAGCGCAATTGCTCTGGATCTGAAAAGAACATGCTAGGAAAATAAAAAAAAACAGCATTTTTGCTTGCACACGATTGCATGATAGAAATCAGCAGAGCTTTCCCTCATTTCAAATCATCCCCTTAGATCTAGCACAACTTCACTTGGGCAGACTATTTGCCTTTAGTAAATCAACCCCGGAGTGATGATATGCTATAGAGAGAGATATGATTGCAGTAATTGTTACTATAGATTGTTCTATCAGATATAAAATGTAAGGGTCCACTCTTCACAATGACCAAAATTGAACCACTTTGTTTATTACAGCAAACAATATTGTCTAGCTTTTAAGTTTGGTTCATTTAAAAAGACTCTTTCACATTATTATTGCCGTACACATTGCAATCTGATAATAAAGTCTCAGATTTTAGTAACGCTAAAGAAGATTGTGCTATGTAGTGCAAGTTCCTATGTGACTTACCCGATTTATAGACACATGTTGGTAAACCTAAAGCAAGTTGTATCATTAGACTGTAACATGTATGACCATCTATGCATACTCAGCAGAACAAAACATGTTTCTTTCATGGTCATTTTATAATGTGCTCAGTGTATAAGAGCTGCAGAAAGAAGGGAGGGCATACTGATACCTGTAATGTACTTGATTTCTGACCTCTGTAATCTGTGTGACATACTAATGACCCCTGCACTCTTCATTACGTACACATGCCCCATGCACATTCCATGCTAATGACTTTTAAACTCTGCATTACTTACTACTGCCCTATGCATTCTGATTTACTTACTCCAGACCCCTGCACTCTGTGTTGCATACTATTAACCTCTGAACTCTGTTACTACTGACCCTTAAATTCTGTGTTACCTACTACCATGTGTTACTGTGTTTCTGTGTTACCTAGTACCCATGTACTCTACTACTGATATCTGATCTCTGTGTTATTTCCTATCAACCTCTGAACTCTGCATTACTGACTACTGACCTCTGCACTCTGAGTTACTTATTCCTGACCCCTGCATCTGTTACATACTATTAACCACTGAACTTTGTTACTTCCTACACTGTATGCTATTTACTATTGACCCCTACTGCACTCTACCTATCTCTGAACTCTATGTTGCTTACTACTGACCTCTGAGCTCTGCATTACTTACTATTGACCTCTGAACTCTAAACTTTTTAATACACTTTTTAATACTGACCTCTGAACTTTGTGTTACCTACTCCTGACCCCGGCACTTCACATTACACAGTACTGACCTCCTAACTCTGCTGTAGTTATTACTGACCCCAAAACATTCTTTTTTAATGTTTTAAATATTATTTGTCTTTAAAATCACTGACCATTGCGTAAGAAAGGGGAGGGGTGCACACTAACTGCTCTAAGACCTATATGGTAGGATCTCTAGGTGTTACTTTAATGAAAGTGAAGATTTAGAAATATAAAAAATGACTTTTGAAATCGTCTTATCACATTAAAGCTCATATGAGATTTTAGTGCGTGATTTGCTTTAAACAAAGCAATGAAAGTGAAATCTTGAATACTGCGTATGGATTGCCCAATTCTAAAAGTGTGTTTTATCAGCTGCACTATAAGATTTCCCCTAATTATAGCCTCTACATCTGGTAGCAAGGGGAGTAAAGGTTTGTAGAGGAAAAAAGAAACATTTAACGATAAGGCCTGAGATCGATAATGTACATATCAGCAGATTCTGCCGCACGCCACAAAGGCTTCATTGAAAGTTTTATTTGGGATTTGCTGACCGCTGCCTATTTGATCTCTGAGATCAATTCTTATTTTTAGAAAATTTATAGCATGAATGATTAACGAAACTGCATGCATTTGCAGAATGTACATTCAAGCTTTCTATATGAAAGATCACATTTCTTTTCTCATGTAGATCTTAAGTTGCCATCACAGAGATAGCAAGAAAAGGTAAAGGAATTAGACACAATATATTATGCTACAAAATTTCAATGGCTTGTAATTTAAAAGAATAACATACTATAATTAAAATAAATTTGAATGTTTTGCCAAGTTAGGCTCTATGCAAGAAAAAATGGATTCAGCTCATTGGTGCACTATAGACAAGTTCCAAGCTCCCATACTTGAAATCTGGTATATATTCTACGAATGTGAAAGCTTTTCTTTTAGCCATGCATGCATTAAAGGTAAAGTAGCCTATGATGGCACAGTGTATGATAAACTATGGTAAGATTTAAGGAGCCATGATGGTGCTCTCAGACAATATGCCACCCCCCCTCTGTCTGGGCAGTGCTGATTGGCCCTGTGGTGATCACATGCACTCACCCAAGACAAAAAAAAATAACTCTCTAGCAATACACACCAAGCAGAGCATGTGCAGACTTGTCCCCAAGGCTCTGTCCTATCAGCAGATGGATTGGGGACAGTAAAAGAAGGGGATGATCAAAGAAGATAGGATCAAACATCCTTTTTACACAATGTGGAGGATTAACCCCTTAGGTTCCACAATGAGTATGACAAGCCTTATTTACTGCATATACAGACTGATTTTACTGTTGTGGGTTAAGTAACACTTTAAATACCATCTTTCAATATTTTGAAGGTTCTTGGAAGAGTCATTCTGCTTTAGCAACCCCTGACTGCTGTAGTGGAGAAGTGCAAGTAAACGATTTGCATTTATGACACTTTCATACCTTTTTCCTTTTGTGAGATTAACCCCTTCATGCCTAAGGGTAAAACAAATCTAAATGCCTGAGCACAGTTTTGCAATGTTGACATGTGTTAGTAAAACTGTATATATCATCACAACCAGGGGTGGACTGACAACTCATGGGGCACCCGGGCAATAGAGGATCATGGGGCCCCTGTGTCCTTGCCCAAACTCAGAAAAGCCTATGAAAAAGGTACCAGGGGCATCTCATGGGGCCCCCTACTGACACCAGGCCCTCGGGCAGTGCCTGAGTTTCCAAATGGTCACTCTGCCCCTGATCACAACTACTTTGTACATCCAGGTGAATTCTACCTTGTTTTTTTCAGGACAAATTGGGCTTTCATTTGGTGTTAAATGGTAATGGATAGCTCCTGAATTTTTTTTATTATCAAAGGAAACGTAGCCCAAAATAGTAAACAAAATATATATTTTTTTAATTTAGCTGTGTGTTTCTTGTTACTACCATAACCTACCATCAAAGAACAACCCAAAATAAATTTTATGAATCTTGGCAATCGCAGTGATACCATATACTATATGTGTATGTTATTTGTTGTTTGTACCCATAGAACAGCCCAGAAACAATAGTGCACATTTTGTTTTTTGTTTTTTTGTTTTTTTTACCAAAAACACACTGACACTGACACTAATGGACATTGATACCAATTTTTTTTTTAATCCTGACCTTTGACCCTGATTTTCACCCAAACACTTACCCTGGCACTGAACTAGATCAAACTTTGATCTAGGTATTTTTTTTCTTTTTTCTTTTAGTGTTTAATATTTATTTATTTATCTTTTTGTTTTTACAAATGTTTTCCCTTCTATGCCAGGAGTTAGAGAGATACAATGTATCTCTCTCCTCCATTCATAGAGAGAACAAAAACACAATGGGGGCTGGGCTGTACAGTGACTGATCACTGTGATAGCCAATCAGAGGCTATCACAGCGATCATGTGACCTGGAATCGGGAGTCCCGGGTCCTGATCATTAGAACGGGACCCAGGGCTCACAGTGACACCATGGTCTTTGTGCTGGGAGTGCGCTGTGTGGCACACTCCCAGCACAGAGACATGTACGCAAATATGTGGTCCCACGGAAAAAAGCCCAGCTCTGTGAGGCCACAATGTCATTGCACAGAGCAGGTAATGTATAACCTTTTTTTAAATGTATCCTTTAATATCACTTTAGGCATAGCATGAGATGATTGGGTATGAACTGGGTTATACAGGGATTTATAACTAGATTATAACTAGATTTCTATAAAATGTACCCTATATTACACCCTGAAAATATGTCACTTCTTGGAAAATGTCTGTATGAGTCTGAACATATAATACTTTTTTATATGGAAAAAGCAGTTAGAGAGAGAAAACTACTGTTTTCAGTTGTGCAGAAATGCCTTTGAAGATGTGTCAATGTGTTGCCATCCCTTATGGGGGGACACTGGCAATATATGGCTATGTTCAGGGTAGTCGTACATATACTAATTAAAGCATTGCCTGCAATGATTGAGTTGTGTTGGGCTTCCCAAAAGAAAAGCTAAAATATGCAGTTACAACTGGAATTATCCATAATTACATACAGATATTTTCCAACCTGTTGCAAAAATCTTTGTTTGACACATGCCACTTCTTCCCTTTTAAAATGCTGAACAAATCATGCTCTGCATTTAGCTATCTAATATATGGGTACTGGCAGATTTAAGGACAGGCTTTCTTAGCTCCTATTGTCTTTCATGACAAATCTGCCTATCTATAGTGCCCATAGCCATTGTTTCATTCATCTTACTAAAGAACACTGTTACCTACGCAAACAATGCGCCAAGGTAAAATAGACCTAATTTAAAGCACTATTGTTGCCCTTGACATATTAGTAAATTAGAACAAAAGAGAGGGTGCTGAAATAGTCAATAAATGCTGAAATCTTAAATACAGTGCCTATTACACCTTGGAAATTATTATGTAAAATGCAACAGACATTTTATAACAGAAACATGCTTGAAGTATTCCTTTTACTGCTCTTCAGTGCCCATTTTCATATTTAATTTATTCATTTTTATTGTGTAGCGCAAGAAAAAAACTCTCTACTTTGTATAGTTGAATGATTGTTTTAGTGTTTAGCTGGACACTTTCGCTGCTTGGCTTAGTCTCCCTGTGCACAATGTTAAAATTCATTTTCTTAATTTCATGAGCTGGCAATTAAAAGCTGAGCATTTCAGGGAACATCTGAACAGTTCTCATTGTCATTCTGAATTTGCTTCTTGATTCAAAGCCATATTAGAGCTGCTGTGCTTGGGTCAGAATATATTGTAATGTGTTTCAAAATGGCATTAGTGGATGGATCAAAGCTGTACTTTGTGTCCATCCCTGAAAAGAGCAACTTTATTTATTGTGGTTTTGATGGTCACAGGATTGCATTCAATGAAGATATTTTTCATCTCAATTTCTCTGCATTATGTTTATGGACTATGTATCTTTGTTGTGATGTGTGTTAAGACCCTAATAAAACAATTGTCTACATAAAACCAGCCATGCACATAAAATAATGAATTCCCCAATCTAACTTAAAGTCTATGATTAGTTAAAATGTTTAAAAAAAGGACAAAAATGTGAAGTGTCTCTTGTGCTGATGTGTCCCCCTACCCTTGAAGCTGTATTTTTTGAATGTTGTGGGGGTTAACACAAGTCAAGGAATCTGTCATATGCACTCATCAAGAGTTCCAGCTATGCCTGCCCTTTCCATCCTCCCTTCTACATTCATAGAAGCTGTATATCCAAGCTAAACAGTGTGGATGGAGGAATCTTCCCTTCTGGCTATTGGATTATGACAACCAGTATGAGCTTTATTCATTGCCAGTATAAATGTTTGGACCTAAAAGTGAAGGCTTTTTTTCCTAAAAAAAAAAAGGAAAAAAAAGGAAAAAACTACATATAATATCTACAAGAAAAGATCACTTGATTTCTCCAAAAGTGGAGTATAAAGTTAAAGTGGTTCTAAATGAAGAAGGTCTTTTACTTCTATGCGACAGAGTAAAAAAAACTTTATATATGCAGTTCCCTCCCAGCCCTGCTAAATACTCACCTGAGCCTATTCTCGATACAGTGGAACTCCCTTCTACAGTTATTCTTGTCAGCAGGAAGTCTAGATAAATTTAAAAACCTTTAGATGTGTTTCTTAGTGAACACAATTTATAGAGATATGGAAAATGGTAGTGACATACACAAACATGCATATACAGGTTGAACTGTATCTTTAGTTAACCTTATTAACTATGTAACTATGTAAAACAAATAAACCCAATTACAAAACCTCTAAAGTTTACTTATCATGTTAATGTAATTTTCAATTTCATTTTCAGTCTTTTTAAAGCTTCAGTGGTGATACTTGCTGATCCTTCAGTGAAGTTCCTTCTAGTTATAGTGTGACAGTGCTCTGTCTCCCAGTTGTGCCTCTGCATTATAGCCTTATCACACAGGCTTCCAATGTAGACTACAAATTTCAACACACATTACAAAGCATGGTCCACTGTTATTACCATTAGGAAATAGGAGCAATTTTGGCCATATTTCAATGAATGTGAAGGTAATTTCATTATGTTTCCCTAATGTCTGTGATATCTTCCCACAAAAGCCAATAGATTGAGCTTTAAATTACCTATGTGTATTTTAATATTACAAATGTAACTATGTCACTTTCACTTTGCAAGGGATTTTTCCATTAGTTTAGAAGAGAAGCTCTGCTGACTTCTGTTATCCAATTATAAGCAAGAAAAAAATACATTTTTTAAATGTTCCTTGATTATGACTAGGTATCATTTGCAAATGTAATTTTCACCACATTCACTAAGGTAAGAAAAAATTCCTTTGCAAAGCGAAAATTCACATTGCACAGCGAATATGCCCTACTCCTTTAGGACATTAATCCCTATAGCTTAAACCAGAGCAAAGCCCAACATGGTTTGAATTGCAACATCTTCTCCAAACAAATAACACATGCATTAAAACCTTATTTCTTAATAAGGCCATGATGGGCTAGTAATTTACAATTAAATGCAATAAATTGATAAATTATTCAAGAAATAACTCTCATTGAACAAAAATACACAACCAAAAATCTTCCACCCTCTAGTGTTTAAAATTTTATTGTTTTAAACTAGATCATCTTTCAACATAATCTTGACATAATCAGCATTCACTGTGGGATATTATTATCAATATATAGAGCAGAACTACATTTTTGCTGATTAGGTAAAGGGGATAAGTTAATAAGTGACAGTTACAAGCACTGCAGTAAAATGTGTGCCCCAAGCACTAGAGAACCAGGGGAAAAAAAAGAAAGAAAGAAAACACTTAAAATAGATTTAGATGTACTTGCACTTCAAATTAAAATGTAAGTGGATCACTTCAACAAGCAAAGATAATGAAAAGAGATCCTGCAGAGAATGGGTAGACTTGAGGGGAATGCAAGTAAAAATGCAAACTCTAGTATGAAAAATGCATTGTCACCTATAATAGCTTATTTAAAGTAAAAAAAAAAAACGCCTTGTTAAATGAGCAAACTGCCCAAAGAAACTGAAAGAGTTAAATTTTCTCTATTCTGTCATCGGTATACTGAAATATGGTTGGATGCTGTAAGTTATTGCTTTGGTTGCCCTTCTCTGTACTTTCTCCAGTTCCCCAATGTTCTTTTTGTTATATAGACACAAGGTGGTGTTTCTGCTGTCTATTTTCCTAGCAGTAATGCAGGCTTGGACCTATACTTCCTCACACCTTTGTCCAGGTTGTTTTTGTACTCTACTATAAAAGGGATTTTCAATTTTGTTTCATTTATTCATGTTCAACTGTCTACTATCCAGTGATTATAAATATCTTAACTTGCAACCATTTCCCATAAAAGTCAAATGTAGTTCGGAAATATAATGACACCCACACACTGACCAAGAGAATGGCATTACATCTTCACAATGGAACAGGGGCAGAAGGATGATCTAGAGGCTACAAGTGTAGCAGGGACAATTTTCTGCTATCAGTTAGTTGGCATTTCTAAACTGAACCACTGCCAAAATAGAGCAGAAGTCAAGGAGGTTGTTTTCCTGTATGCAAGGCTTACTTTTCAATATTGACTAAAGTATACCTTCCATGGTTTTCTGGTTACAGTAGCTTTGTTTCCAAAGTGAAATTTGTCTTTTAAGCCGTTACTATAAAGTCCCCTCTTATAGGAGGTATTATCCAGTTTAAGACATGGCCTTTTCTGACACTTTTTGGTTATGTGTAAAAATCAGCCTA